GCTGTTTTAAAAGGATTTTAACCTATCTTTTAAGATGTTGTAATAAAGTGGACATTTCATCCGCAGGTTCTTGTGTTCATACTGTACCACTAGAAGTACACTTAAAGTCCCTTTCATTTGTAACTTTCCCATGTTACTCAGCTCTACCAGCACAGAGCACTGGAGGAGGAGAGCAGGAGGCAACATTTTTCACTGAGAGAAACTTTAAGGGATTTCAAAGTAATATCTTAACATGCAGGGAGAATACAAAACTATAAATATAATTGGGCTTTAAATACACACTAGCAATGATTTGTAGTACGGGGGGGAGCAGGTTAGGCCTCATGCACAGCTCAGGCATATTTCACTGGGAGGGGAAATGACACAAACATACCACTGCGGACTCAGAATAGGTGGTCTCAGTTTTTAGGGCAAAATAGCCATATAAGGCTCCATGTACATGGGACACTTCTTAACGATGGAAACTGACTGTTGAAAAACGTAGGTTAAAAAACGTCTGTTTAGATGCGTTTGCATAATGTGTTTATGCGCGTTTATGTGCGTTTGCGTATAGAAGCTTTTTTTAAAGATAAGCACAGGAGAACCTCCCAAATGACCAGAATTCACTGAAAAGTGGTAAATTATGAACTATTTCAGACTGTTTCAGAGAAATACAGATAGTAGAAGCAGAGACTGCAGTATGTGTTGAGATTAGCTTAGGTGTGAGTTGCTCATTAACGTTTCTTTTGTTTCCGAGGGTGGGAAAGGTGTCTGGTGGAGTGAGCCAATTAAGGTCATCTGGCAGGGGGTCTGCATGAGGAATTTGAGGCTTGAATGGTCATTAACATATCTTTTGATTCCAAGGGTGGGAGAGGTCTGAGGTGTGAGTTGGTCATTACAATGTGTGACAAGCTTGGTAGGAACATCCTGTGTTCAATGTTTTGTCCATTTGAGTACCTTGAAAATGCTTTGCATGCATTTTTCATGATGAAAAAAGGCTCTGGACAGCATCTGGAACTGAAAGAGTTAGAAAAAAAAATTAAAACGCAAACGCTTACAAACGCAATTTGACGCGTTTTAGCCAGGTTTTACAAGCATTTTGCATTTGAAACACTGATAAAACCAACTGCTGAACACAAGTTTTCTACGTTCTAAAAAACGACTGTAAACTCAAATGCCTGTAAACGAAGATGTGTACATGGACACATAGGAAAACATTAGGATGAGTTCAGGGGCTGCTGAAAAAAATGCTGAACAGCTCCTAAATGCGAGTTTATCAGCCGCAGTGTACATGAGCCCTAAGAAGAATAAAACTAGCTGTACAGAAACATTTTATAGAATGTATATTACAATGGCTACAGGTTTTATATTTTTTTTTTTTGGTCTGGAGTTTCTTTTAGGTAACATGACATGTTTGCAGCAGCCAAAAAGAAAGTTATAGGAAGAAATCTTAATCTGCGTATACTGCTATAGGCCTGGGCAAGAAACGCACAGGAAGCGTGGTGGAGAGTGAAGCCGGAGGACAGGGCTGTACAGGGTGTGAGTAATGAATGAATAAAACATTTAACAGCCTTTTTGGCCTGGTGACGCCTCCCATGTTCTTGGTTCTACGGCGTCATTAACATAACGTGTACCCTGAGGGCCTGAGAACAATCCCCTCTTCCCTGACCATGTGATCACTGGAACGTCCATCCAGGCCGTCCTCTAACTGTCACTCTTCTACTGTCTGCTGATCTTTGTTACTGTGCCAGAAAGACACATTTCTCAGAGGCTGTACCCTAGGGAAAAGCCCTGTATTTCATGAATTCAGGGAGGAGGAAGAGCTTTGAAACAAAACTTTTTTTTTTGCAAATTCCATTGCAGAAACATTACACAAAGTGTTTTCATTACATACCTTATTTTAGACCCAATTAATTCATCACTGGATCTCTGTGCTTCACTATGCAATGAAAGAAGCAATGAAAAACCGTAAAGGAAGGAATAACAGAGGAAAAGAAGAAGGGAAGGAAGAAAAAGGAAAAGAAGCAAGGGAGGGAGTTAAAAAGGGAACAAAAGAAGCCAGCAAAGAACGAAAGGAAAGAATAAGAGAGTAAAAGTAGCAAGTAAGGAAAGAAGTGGGGCTGGGGGGGGGGCACAGAAGGAATAAGAGAGGAAAAGAAGCAAGGATCAGTGAAGAAAAAAGCAAGAGAGGAGCGAAAGAGGGAGGGAAAGAGGGAGGAAAAGAAGGGATGAAAGGAACATAGGACAACAAGAAGCAAGGAAGGAATAAGGGAAGGAAAGAAGCAAGGGAGGAAGGATAGAGGGAAGGAAAGAAGCAAAGAAGGAAGGGATGGAGGGAATAAGAGAGGAAAAAATGCAAGGAGGAAGGACAAAGGAAAGGAAAGACGCAAGGGAGGAAGGAAAGAGGGAGGAAAAATAGCAAGGAAAGAAGGGATGGAGGGCATAAGAGAGGAAAGAAGCAAGGAGGAAAGACGCAAGGGAGGAAGGAAAGAGGGAGGAAAAGAAGCAAGGCCAAGAAGGGAATAAGAGGAAAGAAGCAAGGAGGTAAGACGAAGGAAAGGAAAGATGCAAGGCAGGAAGGAAAGAGGAGGAAAAGAAGCAAGGCAAGAGGGGATGGAGGGAATAAGAGAGGAAAGAAGCAAGGGAGGAAGGACGAAGGAAAGGAAAATGCAAGGCAGGAAAGGAAAAGGGAGGACAAGAAGCAAGGCAAGAGGGGATGGAGGGAATAAGAGAGGAAAGAAGCAAGGAGGGAGGAAGGAAAGATGCAAGGGAGGAAGGAAATAGGGAGGTAAAGAAGCATGTAAAGAAGGGATGGAGGGAATAAGAGAAGTAGCACAGCAGGAAGGAAGAAAAGAAGCAAGGCAAGAGGGGAGAAAGGTAGCGTGGAAAGAAGGGAAGGAAAGAATGAAGTGGGGAGGGGGGATTTGTGGAGTCCAGGAGGAATAAGAGAGGGAAAGAAGCAAGGAAGAAAGAAGGGATGAAAAAGCAAGAGAGGAGGAAGGAAAAGAGGGAGGAGAAGAAGCAAAGTAAGAATGGATGGAAGGAATAACGGACAATAGGATGCAAGGAAGGAAGAGGGGAAGATAAGAGGCAAGGGTGGAAGGAAAGAGGTGAAAATAAGCAAGGAAAGAAGGGATGGAAGGAATAAGAGAGGAAAAGTAGCAAGGCAGGAAGGAAGATAAGAATCAAGGGAGGAAAGAGAGAGGGAAGACAAGAAGTAAGAAAAAAAGGGATGAAAGGAATAAGAGAGGAAAGAAGCAAGGAAGAAGGACAAAGGGAAGGAAAGAAGAGATGGAGGGAATTGGAGAGGAAAAGTAGCAAGGCAGGAAGGAAGATAAGAAGCAAGGCAACAGGAAAGAAAGAAAGCAAGGAAAGAAGGGAGGAAAGGAAGGAAGAAAATAAACAGGGAAGAAAGGAAGCAAGGAAAGAAGGAAGGGAAGGAAGGAATAAAAGAGGATAAGAAGGAAGGAAGCAAAGGGAGAAGAAAAAAGGGAAGGAAAGAAGAAGGGAAGGAAAGAAAAAAGAAGCTTGTCACACAGGAGATTTCCTGTTGTTAAATCTCGGTCATACAGGGAGTGCGGTTCAATAACTGCCACTCCAGTTTGCCAGCACTGAACAAGGAATTCCCGTCTTTGGAAATATTAGAATGTAAATAAACAAGCAAATGATGGAAGTGTTTGGAGCATTCCCTGTAAGTGATGTGAGCATTTCCCAGTGTTCGCAGTGAACCTTCTCTGGGAGTTGTTCATTTTCCCTCATTTTGTAGTTTGCATTATTTAACGAGGCATCAATCCAAAGCAAATTCCATTGGTGCCATTTTTAAAAACACAATGCAATGGGCCTGTCAGATATCTTACCGTATATGGCTGTGGGACTGCAAATTCCCTCGGTGATTCGTTCAGTGACCAAGTGCCTGTTCTTCGGCCAATGTAAATATCACAATGGTCATCTGTGTCTCTGCAGCTCTATTTGTGGGGGACGGAGAACCCCAAACTGCATAACTTAAGTCAGGGATACTGTGGTCAGTCCTCACCGCCTCCTCCACCTGGTCTCTGGTGATTCAACATGTTACATCTGATATTGAAATATGGGTAAACCTCTAACTGAATGACATATAGTTTGTTCATGGTGTATCATAAAAAGTCATTTTCTAATAAAATACTTGTTATCACCTTTACTTAATCTTTGTTTCATCTCAGTGTTGCTGATCTCCTGCGGCCTCTTTGCAACCACTTCCTGTCTACATGCACTACAGCGATGGTCGTACGGCATTTCTCAGGGAGGGGTTTTCTGATGGTGACAACAGTGGACCATGCTTATGTGTTTACAATGGCCTCTTTCATCGGAAACACATATGACAGGTACATACTGATGTCACCCTATAACAGGAAGTGCCTGAACAAGGACCGTTACAGCAGGATCACCAGGATTTATTTTTAATGAAGCCTGCTATTTTAAATATGACTTTTTTTTTAAAATGACATTAATAGGTTAAGCTTCTGTGAGATTTTACTGGTTAGTTTTACATCTGCTTTAACCACTTGCCCTCCAGAGGATTTACCCCCCTTCTTGACCAGGCCATTTTTGCGATACGGCACTGCGTTACTTTAACTGACAATTGCACGGTCATGCAACATTCCACCCAAATTAAATTTATGCACTTTTTTCCCTACAAATGGAGCTTTCTTTTGGTGGCATTTGATCACCTCTGCAGTTTTTATTTTTTGCACTATACACAAAAAAAAACATTTTGGAAAAACCCCCCAATATTTTTGACTTTTTGTTATTAAACCTGTCCAGTGAAAAAATTAAAAAAATTAAAAAAAAATCAAATTTCGGCATAAATTTAGGCCAAAATGTATTGTGCTACAGGTCTTTGCTAAAAAAAAAATGCCAATCCGTGTATATTAATTGATTTACGTTAAAGTTATAGCATCTACAAATGGCGGTATATATACTGGAATTTATTTATTTTTTTTATACTAGTAATGGCAGCGATCAACGACTTATAGCGGGACTGTGGGACTGCGGCGAGCTTTCTGACACTGGGTGGGAACTGACTGTCACTGACATCCCCAGTGATACTAATACTGTGATCAGTGCTAATAAAAAGCACTGACACTGTACTAATGACACTGGGCAGGAAGGGTTTAACATCTGGGGTGATCAAAGGGTTAACTGTGTGTTGTGTTTTACATTATGTGCGGTGTGTGTTTTACTAGGGAGACATGCTGCTTTGTATTGCTCTACGATGCAGATCAATACAAAGCAGCATGCTGGTGCTGACAGGGGAGAGATCTGTATTGTTTACATACAGACCTCCCGCCTGTCAATGTTCCTCGGCGATCGCCAAGTGCTGGCGGGGAATCTCCATCTGGGACCCGGTGATCAACAGCTGTAGCCGCCAATGACGGTGTGGGTAAGACAGTGCACGTGCCCCCTGCCGCCCTGTAGCAGTAGTTTTGCTATAGGGCGGTCGGGAAGAGGTTATTATTAAAGTGGTATGAAACCCAAAATCTGACCAGTAACACACCTCCTGTATTAGAGTGTCCCCACTCTGGAGGAAGGAGCACAGGGGGCACTTTTGGAAAGCAGCATGGTCAGTCTGGAAGGAGGAGAGTGTTAGATGTATTAGCAGATTTAAATACACTAACAAACTGAAGACAAACTCTAGCTAAAACTTTATAACCAGTTATAGCAACAGCTTTGTTCCTTTTTTGATAAAGGTTTTACATAAATAAATTAAAGCTGATCATTGTAAGCTTCCCTGTCAGCGGTAAATGGTGTGTCTTATCTCTGTAAACTGATACATCTGCTGGAGAGCTTGTTCTTTTGAAAAACAAGCTGGCTGGACCACCAGATGAAAATAGAAGAAAGAAAGCCTAAAAAAGAAAACTAATACAACCATCACATCTACGAAATGGTAAGCAGCAATTTATGAAATGTTTGCTTTTGGGATTAACCCCCCTGGCGATATTCCCAAGTGTAGCTCGGGGTTCATTTTCAGTACCAGAAGCAGTAACCCCGAGCTACTCTCGGGAATACCCTGCAGCGTTGCTCTGAGATCCCTCCAGCACTTACCTTGTCCTTCGCTCCCGCAATGTCCCCCATGCAGCATCCCTGGCCATGTCCTCCGGCCGATGCCGGCATCCGTCTTCCGGGTTCCGTTCCCTGCAAGCATCAGGACATACGGGACGTACGGGGGACGGAACTAGCGGGAAATTCAAAAATTTAAAAATTTTACATTCACTCAATACACTAAAATCTGATAGTATTACATTACCGTATCAAAGCATTTCACATACATTTTGTCCCTAGTGCTTTGTCCTGTGCCCTTCCTGAATTTTTACTGTTCTTTCTGCCTGGAAACTGAGAAACGTCCATGGCGTCCAAAAAGCGTCCCTTTAGGTCAAAAGCGGTTTTAGACCGGCTAGAGAACAGCGATAGTAAATTAGAACTACTTGCAGAATTGAGTGATAATGATTCGTGGGGAAATTCGTCATCAGACACTGAAAACGATTTTGCGACTTTGCTCAGTGATGTGCGAACTTGGCGTTCTATTTCAAATTTCAGTGTTTTCGGTTTGATTACATTATTGAATTAAATTTATTATTATATTATTATTTTTTATGATTATTTATTATATTATAATTTATGATTTCGTGTTTCAAATTTTATCATACCCGGGATGTTTAATAGACTCTTGTTTGGACAGATTTATGTAAGTTATTCCTAAGAATTACAGGCCTACAATAAAAAAACAACATATTTCCATGCAAAAAAATGTACCGCTCTGAGCACAGAAATACTGACATAATCAGACTGCTGGGGAGGTTAATATCGCTTTAAACACTTTAAGGTCGATTTAATAAAACTGGAGAGTGCAAAATATGGTGCACAGAAACCAATCAGCTTTCAGGTTTTATTGTCAATGTCTAACTGAACAAGCTGAATTCAGAAGCTGATTGGCTACCATACACAGCTGCACCAGATTCTGAGTGCTCCAGTTCTAGTAAATCTCCAGTTTTGCGTGTTAATGAGACACGTGCAGAAATTGGTATTTTCTTTTGACGTTTAGGAGTTTTCTTTTAAGCCACAGAAGAGATTAAAGTGATATTAAACCCTCAGTTTTTAAGAACTTTCCACAGCTGATTTATTGAACTTAGCTTTTTTACTTTCTATTCCTTGCCTATGTTTCTGGTTAAGCTGGTGCCATGACCACTGACCCAGATTTTCCTGTTTCAGGGTGGCTCCCTTCTCTTGCACTGTCCAATGAAGACACCCTTGCATGCAGGGACTACAGCTACTGTATGCCACTCATACACTGTGTGCACCACTAGAAACACAGCCCTGTAACCTAAGATGGTAAGGCATTCCCTCTTCCTAACCTTTCTCCAAGATTGACCAGAGAGTGCACTGTCCAATGTTAAAGCAGTATTAAACCCAAATACTAAAATCTATTAAATTGCAGCTTACCAATTCTTAGATGTGTTGCTTGCATTAGTGTTCTTTTATTGGTATAGCGCGGAGCAAACTGTTGGCGCTATATAAATATTGTATAATAATAATAATTGGCATTTTCTGTCTATTATTTTCAACTTCCATTAACAAACCCAGCTGTCCAGGAAAAGTGGCAGTTAGAGAGTTGAGACAAACTGTTGTGGCCAGGGGCGGACTGACAACTCATGGGGCCCCCAGGCAATAGGGGATCATGGGGCCCCTGTGTCCTTGCCCAAACTCAAAAAAGCCTATGAAAAAGGTACCAGGGGCATCTCATGGGGCCCCCTACTGACCCCCGGCCCTCGGGCAGTGCCCAAGTTTCCAAATGGTCAGTCCGCCCCTGGTTGTGGCAAACTCCAATCTGACTTTTTATGTTTCTGTGTCAGCAGTGGGGTCCTCCTGGGTCTCCTACCATAGCATCCCTCTTCATTCAGATGAGAACTGACACAGTTGTACCCTGTGCTTGAAGGTCAGCTTGAATTTGTCTGGAAGTTGATTGAGGTTTTTTATCCACCATTCAAACAATCCTTCATTGCAATCTTTGATCAATTTTTCTCTCCCACATCCAGGGAGATTAGCTACAGTGCCATGGGCTGTCAATTTCTTGACAATGTTGCGCACAGTGGACACAGGAACATTAAGATCTATGGAGATGGACTTGTAACCTTGAGATTGTCCATGCTTTTCCACAATTTTTGTTCACAAATCCTCTTCTCCATGCTCCATGTGGCACACAGAGACACACAACAGAAAGGTTGTGTAACGAAACCGGACCCAGACCGCACATTTTCCGTATTTCCATTAGACTCTAGCTTCCCTGTCTGAACACAAATCCCCGGACACCACCGCTGATCATGCAGGAAACAAGACAGCACCAGACTCTTCTTAAGACAGGAAGTCAACTGCTTTATTTTAACACAAACACAAATTATATACACAGTGCGGGGAAATACAACCAGGAACAGGAAACATATCATCAGGCCCTCCCATCAGGGGGAAGGGCTGCAGGAACCACCCCCCCACCAACCCAAGACACACAATAGAACAATGGAACAATCACATGGCATTAGACAATACAGGAACACATGCATTCCATAATAGCTTGCTGGCCATCAAGACACAATAGAACAATGGGATGCAGCACATGGCAGTGAACAATGGACATTCCACATACCAATACACAATACTAGGACATTCCACCCTGTGCCCCAGACATGCACAGGGTGGCTTACACATAATGGTAGGAACATGGGAAGTTGAGACAGGGGTCCCCCCACCCCCAAAAGTCACTCCCGTCACAGGTTGAATCAGTTTTTCATCATTTTAACTGGTTTTCGGTGTGATTTCTATATTGTTAGCTCCTGTTAATTGATAAAGGTAAGTTTATATATAAATTACAGGAGCATCACAAACTTCAAATGCAATTATTTCTTACAATTTTGAGAAGGTGCCAATAATATTGTCCAGTCCATTTTTGGGGTTTTGGAATGAGTAGCGTGGAGTGTGGAATGTATCAGATTTGCCTTTTTTGTTTCTCCAATTTTCTGTGTCATACCAATACAAACAAAAGAAGTAAACATGAGAATGTCTAAACATTTGTAATTGCAACAATTTTCTGGGCGAAATGGTGCACTATCTGACAAAAATGCAGGGGTGCCAATATTTTTGGCCATGACTGTAGTCCTACTTTAAAGAAGCTGAAGACTGTGTGAAACAGGCCTTTAAATTGGGAATGTGGTTGTAAAGGCAGAAGGGTTTTTAATTCTATGCAGTAAGGTAAAAAACCTTCTTCATGCAGCTTCCCTCGGAGCCCCCCTAAATAAATACCTGACCCCGATCTTGATCCAGCGACATGTACAACAACTGAGGCTGTCTTGGCTCTCCTGTTCCTCATTAATAAAGATAGAACAGTGCAGCGCTAAAAACAATGAGTATATCAATGAAAAATTAAAATATTTCTATAAACTCATAAAAAGTCCCGTATTACCTAGATAATAAATAAGAATGCAGCAAATATATTAAAATAAAGTGACACAGTGACTCAAAACCCCCAAAGCTAGTATGCAGGGTGACAGTAAGAGTTCCAGATGAACTATGATAGATGTGACCGCTTTACTATCCCAGTGTGAGATAATATATCATCCGGTGAAAAATGGTAAGATTGCACACTAACCGGAAGCACAATCTTAATGCTCATCGAATGTATCAACTGGAGGTCTCCTAAAGGGTACAGCCTGGTACAAGATCACCTCCTCTGTATATGTGGGTATTAGAGATGTCAATCAGAGGGCCCCTTTAACGGGTTGTCTGCAACAGGGTCTGGTCATAGGCTTCCCTCCTCTGGTCCGAGTAGATCACCTGGGGTCCTGGGATGGGGTTTAATTGCTTGGTGCAGAGCAAGAAATATAGATGCTCATAGTGTAGTATGTAGCAGTATTTATTAGGTAAGTAATAAAATTAGAGCATAGATAGCAGTAAACATACATAGGGTATCTTTAAAATTAGCAGCATGCAGGCTGCTGAATACACTGACCAGCTGGGTGATTAAGATGGCCGTCGAACCTCCGTGATCCGGCGGCATGACGTCACAGCGTACAAGGCTCCTCCTAGACACGTTTCGTATAACCATACGTCTACAGTAGGAGTTGGCAACACCTAGCTAATGTCAACACATACTGCTGGCTCTGCTTCTACTCTCTGTATTTCTCTTAAATAGTCTGAACTAGTTAATAATTTACCACTTTTCAGTGCATTCTGGGAATTTGGGAGGTTCTCCAGTGCTTATTTTTAAAAACTGCTTCTAAACAAAAACGCACATAAACGCGGTATGCAAACGTGGCTAAACAGACGTTATTTAACCTACGTTTTCCAGCAGTCAGTTTCCATC